TCTCGGCGCATTATCCTTTAGATTCACGGATGGTGGACTTATGAATACTGCCATCTCAGGTAAAAGGCTTTTCTGATGAATTTTTTAAAGATGAAGCTGCAATATGCTTATCCGGTTCACATCGATTTTGCAGACACGTCCGACAATTTCATGGAATGCCACCAGCCGAAAATTCGAATGCGGTGTATCTTTTGGGCAAATACGATCCTCGGCTAGCAACATTGCCGGGGAAAACTGCGCGTAACAAACATTCATTAGGAACGGATCTGCAAGCTGGCAGAGGGAAAAAATATTTGATTCAACGTTGGGGTGACGGAACGATCTGTGATTTGACTAAAGAACCCAGGAAGGTTGAAATTCAGGTATTTTGTGATTTGTTCGCTATCAACATTAATGATGATCCTGGCATTTAGGTATAACAATGAGTTTTTTTAAACTGTCTGTAGTTTCATTGTAATCCACAATCTAGAGATGGCATTGCTTTAGTAAAAGAAATGTACACCTGTTATTACTTAATTGTTATACATACACCAAGGTTATGTAATGATCCGGCATTTCACAGTAAGACTTCCTTCAATGTCAATCCTATAGAATGCTGGCCAATTGTGTCTGATGTAAGTAACAATGTTTTCTGATATTTACACGTCTCCATAAATGAACATCGCTTATTGAGATTTCCTTGAAACAGGCGCAATATGAACGTAGCCTGGAAAATCCACCAAAAAGTTTGGAAAGTGCATCACAAGAAGAGAAGTCGAGGTACAGTGTCTCTCCAGGTTCGACTATATAATGCAGAGCTTTGTATGTAGTTAATATGCAGTATTGTTATGGAAAAATAGCGAGTGAGTGATTATCAACGAGGCCAATAACAGAAACTTTCATTTAATCCGCAACTTCTTTTTCTTTCTTTTTTTTTTTTTTATGACGAATTTGACCATTTTTTAAAAAGCTTAATTTTTTTCCTAAAATAGTGCTACGAATGCAGAGACAAAGGAAGACGAGGAAAGCAAAATGACGGATTCAACGAATAAAAATGACGATCACGATAGTCAATTGTTTAGGGATAAGATAAAATCGGAAAAACTGATAGCCATAGTGAACATGTATACATCAAAAATAAAGGGACAAGATGTGTTAATAGAGGGAGAGGAAGAACAGTCGGGTGATCATAAACGTAAAGTCAAATTTTTTTTCATGGACGAGAGTGGACAGATAAAGCCATTAGAAAACACCGAGTCGGTGTTGAAACAAGAAAAATCATCGGACAAAGCTCAAGAGGAAGAAGATTGAAATAAAGGAATTTGGTTATTGAGAGTCTTCCAAGGCTCGATCTAGCTATCCATTGTAAATGTTATTCCTTGAACACGAACCAGATATTTCCTTCATTATATACAGTTAAAATTAACCAGGGATTGGGAATATTCGAATTAAAATTTTCACTGATTCAGGTCCTTGTTACTATAATACACAGAGAAACCCATTTCTGCATAATTTATTCATAATAATAATGTATACTCCAAAAAAAATTGATAATTATTAAATTTACATCTAAAAATATTTATCGTGGAGCGTCACATGCTGGTATATTAGGCAGAGACCTCTGTACCAATGATACTATCCAATTCACCATTTGAATCCAATTCTTTGATTATATCCAATCCACCGATCAATTCTCCATTATTGAACACCATCGGATAAGTAGGCCATTTGGCAAATGTTTTCAATCCTGCAATATATAATATTTAGTTAATCCAAATATTATGGGTTCGTATAAAATACTAAGATACCAATAAAATCACCTTCTCTAACTTCGTCATCCCTTAAAATGTCAAAGTATTCGTATTTGGCTTTCTTCCCATCAAGAATGCTAATTAATTGTCTTCAAATGATAAATTATTTACAAATTAATGGAGATTCTTCACAAAATATTCATAGCCGAAAAGCATACTTACCTTGTGAATCCGCAACGCGGGGCATCGGGTGAACCTTTTATGAATATAACTAATTTCGACTTTGTGGTTAATTCTTGAAGTCGCTCATCAAGATCCTTTCCTTTCGGTAGTTTTTCTTTGAAACTCCCTGTGGCAATCATTTCTTTCACAATGTCTAATCCGCCAATAAGTTCTCCATTGATATATAGCTATAGAAGAGTAATTAAACTTTGCAGGAAATAAAGAAAAAAAAAAGGAAAGGAATTAATAAATACTTGAGGATAGGTAGGCCACTTGGAATACTCCTTCAAGCCTATGTCAAAGAGATAAATAATGATATCAGGACCAATCGTCACCACAGGTTTATATATGTATATCATTGTGTGGATGACATGTACCTTGTCTGACCTCTTCGTCAGTCAAAATGTTAAATGAACTAAACTTCACATTGTTTTCGTTGAGAATTTCTACAAGCTGTCGTGTGAAGCCGCATCGAGGTTGACTCGGAGTACCCTTTGTATAGGCCAAAGTACCGAATGAAGTGATCACAGATTTACATCGGTTGAACGCAAAAAATGGAGAATAAACAGACCTTTATAAACACCATAACTGAATCGGTATTAACTAATTCTTTGAGACGTGTATTTAAATCAACTTTAGGCGCTTCACGAGGTTGAGCTGGGGTAGGTTTAAATGTTGTAGTTTTGGCATGCTTTTCTACTGTACTCGTGAGTTCTGATGCATTCGCTCCATCAACGCGGTCCACAACCTTTCCGTTCTGTTAACGAAAATAAATAAATGACTGAATTTTATTAGTGTAATGGAGAAAGCAATAAATACCTTGAGAACGATAAAGCTCGGCACTGCTACGATCTCGAAGGATTCAGAAGTCTCTGGGAACTTTTCTGCTTCAATCTTCATTATGAAAACAAACGATGAATTCCATTTACTTAAACCCGCAATCAAAATACATTTCCGAATAAAGAACCTTGATAAATTTGAGGGAAGCATGCTTTTTTGCTAATTCCGCAAATACTTCGTTCATTTGTTCACATGGCTGTGCCCAGGCAGCCCAAAAGTCCAGGATTATTGCCGTGTTTTTATGTTCTTCGGTCAATTTTTTTAAATCAATATCTGCAGTGAACTCTACGAGATTGTCGGTCATGGTTGCTTCCTTTGGTCAATTAAACCGCGAAAATAGCTAAAAAAAAAAAAAACTAAATTAGATGCGATACGTCATGTTGCATTATTATTTAACCAAAAAATTTTTTGATCGATTTGATCGTCACTAACGATTTTCCTTCAGTCATGTCGGAAGGAAAGCTAGAGAAGCCCGAACAAGATTTCACGCCCATCGTCGACGTGCAATTACCAGAAACA